CCGGAGTCAAGGAGAGGCTCGACCGCGCTCTCTACTCAGAGGCGTGGACGAGGGTGTTTGCGACCACGGTTGTAACGCACCTTCCTCGAATTGGATCCAACCATGCCCCCCTTCTGATTCGTTGTCAGTTCTCTATCTTCCCTCGGTGAGCGTCCTTTCATTTTCAGAACATGTGGGTTCGCCATCATTCTTACTACGATACTGTTAGAGCCTCCTGGCAGCAGGCTACGCACCTCTATGGGATGCGCAACCTGGAGGAGAAGCTCAGGAGACTCCGCCGCATTTTGAAATAGTGGAACTGGACGATTTTTGGTGACATTTCTCAGCGCCTTACTGCAGCTCAGACTGCGTATACAGAGGCAGAACGGACCTATGATCTGGATTCTTCGCCAGAGAATAGGTTCGAGATGCGCCCCTGCCATGCTGAGTACCAGTTGCGCCTCCTCATGGAGGAAGATTTTTGGAAGCAGAAGGTTGTTGTGCGCTGGGTGGCTGAGGGGGAGCATAATACCAAGTTCTTCCAGGGATTCGTGAGACAGAAGCGAGTCAAGTCGTATATCCATAGTATCGAGGATAATGGGTCATCCGTGATCCAAGAGCCCCAGATACGGGAGTCGACTAGGGCTTACTTTCACTCTCTCTTTTCCTATGAGCGGGACTTGCTTACGCACCTCGACCCGACCCTTTTTTCGACCATCCCAGAGTCGATCGACCTCGTCGGCCTCTATGACCTCCCGGGTAAGGAGAAAGTCAGGGTGGCTGTGTTTGGGATCTATCTGAACAGCGTCTCTGGACCGGAAAGTTTTTCATCCCTCTTCTTCCAGTCTTGCTGGAGATTGTGGGTACTGACATAGAGGAAGCTGTGAGGAATTTCTTCTCTGGCCACCAGATGCTAGAGTCTTTCACAAAAACCTCCATCATTTTGATTCCGAAGAGATCGGGACCTAGTTCTTGGTCCGACTATAGACCTATCAGCTTATGCAACGTGACTAACAAGACCACCTCTAGGATCCTCAACGAGCGCCTCGCCCCTCTCCTCTCCCACCTTGTCTCTCCGAACCGGAGTGGTTTCATCAAAGATCGAGTCATTAATGATAATATCCTACTGGCTCAGGTGATGATACACGATATCTCTCATGTGAATCGCACACGAACCCCGAACCTCGTGCTGAAGCTAGACATGGCCAAAGCATATGATAGGGTCGAGTGGTCGTTTCTCAGAGAGGTACTGTTTCGGATGGGATTCCCTAACTGATGGATTAGCTTTGTGGAGGCGTGTGTGGAGCACTGCACATTCTCCGTTTTGATTAATGGTAGTCCCACGACCTTTTTCTTTTCTACCCGCGGTCTTCGTCAGGGGGACCCCTTATCCCCCTCCCTTTTTGTTCTGGTGGCTGACTATCTCTCTCGCTGCCTTGACGGCTTCATTCGCGACTTTCCGAGGATGACCTACAGCACGCGTGGCTGTGGGCCTCTCATTTTCCACCTCTCTTATGCAGATGACATTATCATTTTCACTCGTGCGAATGATAATGGGCTAGTAGACAGCATGAGTCTTTTGGATCACTACAGTGAGACATCTGGCCAGCTAGTCATGGACCACCACATTGCAGACCATTGGGCTCACCGGATTCACGAGCGCACTGGATTTGCTCGTGGGGACTTATCCATCCCTTACCTTGGGGCCCCCTGTACAAAGGTCATCTCTCCCATGAGCTTTTCATTGACGTCCGTCAGAGGATGATTGACCGGATTTTTGGCTGGTCACATAGACACCTATTCTTCGGAGGCCGACTTGCTCTGATCAAGAGCATTCTTTGTGCCCTCCCTCTTCACCTTCTCGCGGTGCTTGAGCCCTATCAGTCTACGATTCATGAGTTAGATCAGACCTTAGCCCACTATTTTTGGAGCCATGGCGAGGGCTCGCGGGGACGGCGGCAGACTCACTGGGTGAAGTGGGACTCCATATGTCGTCCCCATTCTGAGGGTGGTGTAACACCCCGACTTTTTATATATAATCAGAGTACGCAATTTTTCGCAATTTTCTGAATAAATAAATAAAATACTTATTTTGCGAAAACTGATTCGGGATGTTACCGTGAAAAACTTGATTTTCTGAAAACCGTTAAAATTTTTAAACTGATAAATAAATCGGTTATAACATCTTATCCGACTAATGTCGGAGCAAAAACTGATGATAAGTACTGAAAGTTTTTAGCGGGAACCAAGCGTGGAAAAACATATATACATATAATCACAAAAGTCCTGAACAGCCCGCCCGCTCACTCCTCGTCTCCGACCCTGCGACCTGAAAAACATGAAAAGCGTGGGGCGTGAGCACTAAAACACTTGTGCTCAGCAGAAACTCATACTAATGTAAACATCGTAAATAATAACAATATCATGAACTAAGCATATATAACTGAACTTAAACTGAATCTGAAACTGATATCTGATACCGGTCTGATCTCGTGAAATAAGTCACGTAACTGATAACTGAAATCTGTCGGCACAAACTAATACCGCATTCTCCCGCCACAAACTAATATCGGACCATGTGCACACTCTAGTGGTTAGATTAGGCCACTAGAACCCAGAATGGACCGGCGACCATTCCGAGCAGATACTGAATATACATAC